ACCGGGTTCAAACTCGAGGCCCTTAATCCGATTTCACGGACGAACTGTCAACCCTAGTCGAGTCAGTAGCTGCATCAATGGTACATTTTCTTGTTTAGTTCATGTGAATTAGAAGCTCTGTCCAAAAACCCGGATGTTCGCGGTTCGAATCCGGACAGAGATACAACAGTATATCCTTCTGACTGATTCCAAAAAGATGAAATGTTTCTCCAGGGCTATTTGTCATCTAGGAGACAAAATCCCATTACAAATGAACTATATCTAATCTCCTCTACCCTGATCGTGACATATACGACTCACGCGGCGTGGGCCCCACTTCCCCGGTAGCTAGCTCAACAGTTATATGAGATACTCTGTAAAAACCTCCGGAAACCGAAAGAACTATCTTTTGTGATCTTATTTGCTGTTCAGCGTGTACTGATGCCCCCGACACACACCCCTTGATTTCAGCACCTTATTTTAATTTCTTTGATCATGTGAAATCCTTGGAGCTCAGAAAAATTATCGGTAGACAATAGTGTCTCGTAATGAGCCTGTAAATGTACCCGTCGTCTGTGTGAGGCGCACATTAACCTGACCGAACAACTTCGCGAGAAGCATGTGGATACCGGTACTGTGGTCTCGCATTCTGTCCGTTTCGGGGATGCGTGTTGATAGCCACGCGTAACGCGGTTGAAAAAGCATTGGAGTACACTCCCACTTCAGCAATGTTCATGACAAACACCGTTTTAGCTCTCAGTGGTGAACCAACCAAACAAGCGTCATTCCTTTTCAAATCATCAAGCACGGCAGTTAGCCCAACCGTAAACCACTTTATCAATCAACGTCATTCGCCGCACTTAATCTGTGTCCAAAATAAAAACAGATTTTCATAAACAATTAAAACTTTCTTTTCATTTTTACTCCCTTTTGTTGAACATACAAGGGTATAATTTTCAGGAAGGGGGAAGCGGCCAACCAAAGGGCTGCCATTCAATACACAATGGGGAAAATCAGGCGCTAGTGGTGGGATTCGAACACATCCTCGGCGTGATAATTCGGTGACGTTAGCACCGGACCACCACCGCCCAAATCCTTATCAGCAGTTGTGCTTGTGGCTTCTCGATGAAAATTGCCACACCATGTTGACATTTTTCTCCTTCGATTTACCACCGAAATGACATTATTGACAAACAAGACTTACCCAAGTGCACCGTTTATGCTGCAACATTGTTCAGTGTGTTTCAGCTCTGTCACTTTTACTAAATATGATGCGGTCTTTTACGATTCACTAAACATGGTCTTGTGGAGCCCGTGACCCTCGACGAAACAAACTAACGAGTCCGGTGCTCTGTCTGAATCCCATGATACACAGAGGTAACTCCTTGCCGTTGAATGATTTACTGTCACGGCATGGCCAATCAACTAAACGGTACAGTTTCCCCACATTACACCTCGATTAAAATACAATTCCAAATGTATTTTCACGTTGAAGAAGGTAAAATGCTCAAACTCCTATAGGGCTCCAAACGGAACACGCCATTTTCCATAGTTGAGTAGTGCACATCACCATAATATAAATCAACCCTGAGGACGAACCGTTCGCATATTTTTTACTTATCTTATGTTCAGCCCTACTCGAACCCCCTCTACCAGACTTATAAGATGAACAAAACGTTTGATGAAAACTGTATACAATTCATTGGTTTCTTAAATTGAAATGTGTAAGTGTTGAAAGTTTTCCAAACGTCCTCCCACGTTCTCCACCAGCCACAACCATGGAGGCTGATAGTTCGTGTGAAACGTCTGAGCACACAAAATCAGGGTAAAGGGACAAGGATAGGTGGGAGGCTGTGCAGCTGAGGAAATATCTCAACCAGTTAATTCCAGAAAGAAATGAAAACCAATCGTGAAACAAATGGAAGTAGCCGCAGAAGGATATCACATAACTCATTGAGTCAGTCAGTCAGTCTTGTTTTGCTCTAGAACACAGGGCTATTGCTGGCAGTGAGTGGAGCAATGCGGATTGCGGGTCTCGTGGAAAAATCAGTTTGAAAACGTTGTTGTTGTTATTCTCAGTGTACACGTGTTTTATTTTGAGGTTATGGAGAACGAGGATGTGTGTGTGTTTGTATGTGTCTGAGAGAAGAAGTAGAGGAAGGAAGGAAGGAAGGGATGCGATCGAACGCTGCGGTACAGTTGATTTGACGGGTGTTCGTGTACAGGTATATTGAATTTATATGAAGATGAAATGGACCGGATAAACCAAATGCAAGAGGTAATCGAAAGCTCTGATTAAAATGTAGGTATTGACAGGGTAAATGTGATGTCTGAACAGCAGATGGGCATATAAAAGAAGTTATGAAGGGATAGGCTTGTGTTGGAAGGGAAGGAAACTATCATACGTCATTGTGGAGGCCTTAGAACGTTTTAGGATTGCCGAATAGGGATGATAGATTAGACGGTTGATGCCCCTGTGCAATACCACCGTGGGTTGAGGAACCTGAGCAATAGGATGGGAGTGGATTAGAAAGCGTGTGTATCCGTACGTATGTATAAGTGTGTGTATTGGCAGAAATGTCGGACAGTGCTCGGCGAAAGAATCAACGAGTGGTTAAATAGTTGCACGATAACTTTGGAGCAGTTGCGATTTATGAACGCTTGATAGGATCCGAGGGTGTTGTAGCTCATCCACGTATGACAGATAAATTTGTGTTTGAGTGTGTGTGCCAGGGGAGTGTAATGGTAATAAACAGTTGTACAACGGATACTGGTTAGGTTTGCTATTGATTAAGGCTGAGCAATTGTGCATTTTGGTCCACAGACAGCTGTTGTGGTTGGCCAAACGACAAATGACTTTGGAGTGGAGACATAGATTGTTGTTGGTGGTGGTGGTGCTGTTGCAACCGTCCAAGGGTGGCTGCCAGCGACATCCCCGTAGGCATGGTGTCCATATTACCAACAAATATGGACGATGATGGATGTCCCGAATGGCTGCATGGTAAGGCGGACACATAGTACGGGGCACGGGAATCCACGGTTTTATTTACAGATACCGGCAATGAGGAGGAGGGAACCGCAGGCAACGGTGCTGTTGGGGGACTCATATTAATAGGAAATTGGGGTATGTCGTAAGTTTGAGTATCTGAATAGGTGTTTTGGACAGGTTGATCAGCAGTTGTCACTGGCTCATAGGTGGCTGTGTAAGGCAAACGTTTTAGCTCATTCGGCACGGTGCCGTTTGAAGCGAGGACACTGACGGAGGGGATCTGATAGGACATTTGGGCCATGCTAATTGTGTTACCCAAATTGTTCGTTGTGGATGGATACGTGGTCGAGGCCTGGGATTGGCCACCGGCAGTCGTGTACTGAGGAGGGACTGAATACTTGCTAGCTGGAGAGGAATGTTGATAAGATGAAGTGTGATGCAAAAGAATTTTCGACCGCAGACAATTCCGGTGAAGACGATGAGCTTTCAGTAAGCAACAACCCATGATGAACAGAAGCAATGTGAACGTGAATGTCCCGACCACGGCTCCAATCATTTGCAACGCCGAGAATTGTTTCTGTGAATAGGAACAACACAGGATGAGATGATGATGTTAGATGATTCCATCGAATTAATCACAATTTGGTATTTGACAACCTAACCGATAGAATGATCACCAAAATCAAATAATGTAGGGTTCTATTTCAAGGAACAATAAAACAGTATAGAAACTATTTTTTTATTTCTCAAGCATCTGCTTACCTTTTCACTGCGTCTGTTTTTCCACTGTCTTCGTAATTCCACTGATTTCATCTTCGAACGTTAAATGTCACGAATGCACTAGCCCAACGCAGGCGGTGGTTCTCAGATCGCACGGAAACCCTAATAAAGGTTTCGATCGGCGGAGTGGCAAAATCTCCATTCCAACTACATCCACTTTCATACAAATCGTCGTGTCACGTTAGGGCACAATACGCACTATGCTCAGCACATATCACTTAAAAAACAGCATCCGAGATGTGGAGGAATGCAAACCAACATTTTGGTGATTTAATCGAATCTGGTCAGCGCGGAGAAGGATCAAACGATATTGATCCGTCTGGATCTTTCTCATAATAGTATTTGAATCTGATTTATGATGTGTCTAATACTCCGGACAACCCACAAGCACGCAACAAAAAATGACTCGGTGATTATCCGTGTATTTGATGCATTGCATAAACCCGTCATTATGGTGTTGCGAATAGAAAATTATCAGTAATCTGTTCCATGAAGTAGAATGCCGGGCTTTAGTCTTTGGTAGGCTAACTGAGCTAATCTCTCATAAAAATAGATTTTACTTTATCAAACAGTTCAATAGGGACTTTTTCAAGAAACTGTAGCAAGCTCAGAAGTGCTCGATCGATCAGTCACTGATTATTGTTCATTTGTCAAATGTAGGAAATACTTGTCACTCATGTTTACCAAAAGGGTACGAAAAACAGGTTCCTCGACAATGTTTTCCAAACCCATACAGAGGGCACGTGACCAACTCCTTTCAGTTTTATGCAGCATTTGCAATACTATTTGCAATTTGATTAATGACTAACTTCCAGAATTTTCTGACGAAACATGTGAATGTCGAACGACTATACCACACTTCCATAGCGGACTTTCCTAATTATTTTGGACAATTTTTGTCAGTACTCCCTTCGGTTCCACTGAAGTTTCCGCCAAAATATCGCCATTTGACCAAGTCCAACTGAGAAAGCGAACAAGATCCGCTTTGATTTGTATGCTGTTGTGTGGATGCGCTATGGCACCGGTTTCGGCGATCTTGGAATTATTCACTATTTGAAAGATTCCCAGCCGCTGATGAGCAGAGCGAGTATCATTCCAGTCCTGGGTAAGGGCATCACCGAATTGTATCTAATTTAATGCAGTCTATACTAATTTGAAATAGCTGTAAAGCTAATCCTACACCAACAACTTACGTAAAACAATGTAAATAAACACAAAACAGTTTTTACCAACGGGTGCAACATCACAGGTACGGTGTGTTTCGACCGTAATGAATAACAATATCTGTCTGATCTCATTTCTGAACAACAGCGAATTATTTTAAAGTGGCCACCGAATTTGAGAATTTGAGAAAAAAATGATTAGTACTACGCATTCTCTTCACAGTAAACTGTCTATGATGATCTGCTATGCTTACTTGCAACGAATACCTACGTACAGGAGCTATGACACAATTCTTCCATCATGTTCCATCTTAATCGACTACTCTTTAACCTCGGCAAAATAATCCGCCTTAAATTGACGCCACAAATATGTTGAACCTTTGTCATGACTGTCTGTGCATGATTATGGTTAAAGGCCATTTCACATTTAGGTAACCTTCGCTGAATATTCACCACAGAATGTGAAAAAGCAACTTCCTGACGTGATGTCCAACAGAAAGATTCATCTCATAACTGGATAGATCTCATACGAATAATGAAAAAAGATCCACGAGGATAGAACTTGACAGTGTGCATCAGTTTTTTAAAAGAAAATAGTCAAACTGATGACAACATTGTTTAGCTTGTAAACTGTAGTTTGTCAAAGAAGTGTCATCACCAACCCGGTGACTGAGTTAGTAGCCAGTAAACTTGATCATCTAACTGGCGAACACTCGCTCGATTGGGAGATATTAACCCATTTGAATGATGCACAATGACATGACCACACTACTTACTTGCATCCAAAATCCGCTTGGATCTTCACCAGTGAGTATGTACCAATTCGATCGGAGGTCGGCCTCTAGTTCCATCGGTTTCTGCCAGTCCTGTCCATCGCCTCGTTCCTTCTTATTCTGTGCGCTGTTCGGTGCAGCTCCTGCATACCTATCTCCCCCGAGTTGACTGTCGGAATTGCTGTCAGTTGATTTTCGTTCTTTGGGTACAATTGGGGGCCATTGTAGTCTCACCTCCGCACTCACATTACCGCTCGTATCTGACGCAATACAGACCAATTGTTCTAACGGATTAGGCTGGGATTTAGTTGGTACCAACTCGTTCTTTGAGCCAGGCAATACTAACGGTTGGAGAAGTTTGATCTCAGCCACATCGGAACTGACCACACGGGAAGATGATAATTTGGACAACTGTCCCACTTCTTGATACAACCCTAGCTGTGAAGTGACAGCCGAATCGAATGTGGAACGACGATACCAAGCCAATTTCATTTCCGGGGAACCGCGTACTTGACAGCGCAGAGTGACCGCAAGCGGGTGATTAGAGGATCCACTGGTTTGGGGTTTTGTGTCCTCATTCTCCTTGTTCTCTTCAATAAACACTTCAAGGTTCTTTAATTGAGGCAAGCCACAAAAGAAATCTTCACTGGTCAAGGTTTCCATTGGTCTACCTGCCAACCTATCGGGGGAGCGGCATGTGGGGCGAGGTAAGTCACTGTCTAGTGGTGCATCGGGACCCATAATTGCGTCCTGTTTGAGTGCACGCGATTTGCGTCGAATCTGTCTTCGTTGTAACACTTCAGCAAGCCAACTAAGACGACAATCACAGTGAAATGGGTTTTGATCGATCGATAAACTTTGTAGCTCGAGAAACACCGGTTCAAGACGGCTCTCTAAGGTGATCAAACGATTACCGGATAGATGTAGTGTGGTCAGAACGTGATGTCTGAGCAACGGGGCCAAATCGTCGTACGTAATGCTTTCCATGCCACAATTGTTCATCGATAAGGACACAATAGAAGCATCATCGAATGCTCCCGGAGCTAAGTGTAGACGATGATTTTCATCCAGCCTCAAATAGTCCAGTCGTAGTCCTGCGAAAGTGCCAGCTTCAATCACGCTGATTCGATTCTGGGATAGATCAAGCTGCTTCAAACTTTGAATAGGTTCGAAAGAACCCGGCTGAAGACGCTCAATGCCACAATTTCTGAGTGTTATTCTTTGTAATACTTTGGTCTGATGTGGATAAGCGGTGAAATTATGTCGTCCTAGTGCACTCCCTTCGAAACGATGACCAATAAGGATCATGGATTGGATGTCTTTGGAAAGTTCATCTGGAAGGCCAGTCAGACCTCCTTCCTGACACGAAAGCGAGCCTGCCATACAACCGCTACACATTTTGCTGAGACACAAATCTGTGGAGCTTACTGCATGCACCAGAATCGGAAATCTTCCCAAAAGTAAGGTAATCCACGCAATCAGCATCTCAACGGTGCCAGGATCAAGAATGGCCATTTTCTGACCGGATTTATGACGGATTTTGTCTACGTCCGCTATCCCTGTCAGGCTTCATGGATGACGTTTGTGTTACTGCAATGGAGTGAACAGGGGCGAGAAAAATGAACAGATGACTAATTTTACACTCACAGCAGTACATTCGTCACAAAAAAGAAAATTAATGTGATATGTTAGGTAGATTTAAAATGCTGTCTAGAAATTTCAGAATACTATATATTGCGAAGGCAGTGTCTCTGTCTGCTAGAACGTACTTCCAGTTGATGTCTTTTATTCCTCTTTTTGTGGCACATAGATTTGTGGATGAAACTAAATGTTATTGAACTTACACACACACATACACACATGCATACATACATACATACATACATACATACATACATACATACATACATACATACATACATACATACATACATACATACATACATACATACATACATACATACATACATACATACATACATACAAATTCTAGATCCTGTTGTTCACTGAAACGCATGATTGATATGGGAATTACTTGTGCGCAGAAGCTAGAACGCATCAACTGACAGATTTTTTGAGGTACCGGTATATGCCATTGAATCCGTTCACTGTTATTGATCCCGTGAACAACGGGAATAGTAACAGAAAGGAACTAACCGTTTTTAACAATCCCTGCTTTAGAATAGATTAGTTATTTCTTTGGATGTTTGTTAACTGCCATTCAATCAGTTCTGGGGTTCACTGTCCATTCACCGGTTTTACCAACCTAGTTCACTTTTACTGAAAGGCTACATATCTATTGAAAAGCCGCCTCTATGTGGTAAACTAAATCCCGGCGAATTGTTAAATGAACTGACGGTTTTTGGCACGATCTGCTTGAGGAATATTCCGGAATATCCTTCAATGACAATAGCCTGAAAAGCTATAAGTTTTGGACGACTATCCGAATATCTGAATTTATCTTTTCGCCCAACTCCTAATTTATCTACGCAACCAAAATCAATGATATTCATATCACACAATCAACCACTGGTAAATATGTGAACTGAATCTAGTCCTGAAGCTTTGTCTGAAGATATGCTCATAGATTTGTACACAAGACCTGATTTGACAAGGGGTTTCTAATAGAGTTAGCAACAGGCATACTATCTTCAGGCAAAGCTATCATGCCACCATCTAACTGTCTGCCTTTAAGGAAAGCATGCGCAAAGTGACCACGATAATTCTGGTATGCCCACTGGGTGCAGTGGAAACGCACTCATTCCCTGGGAAGCATTCAGAATTCCGATCCCAGATGGGCTGGCAGATAAGCGACATTGACGACCTCAAATCTGGTGCTCCTCGAGTGTATAATCGACTGGATGAACTGAGTAATAAGCGAGTAGTGGAAGCTTGAAATGTGCTGAGTTCAAATCAATAACACGAATCCAACACCGGAACTTATAAGTAACTATGACTTGTTGATTCTAGGTCTTCTAGATGGCCTTCGGGAAACGTTGGTCTCTGTAAGCACAAACTCAAATTTTGTACAGCCATCCACAAACCTCATTGACTTTTCTGTATCCAAATGATGAATTTCAAAACAACAACAACAACAAGTACTGTATCGGATTATAGCACGCAGAAATTAAAGGGCAGCAGGAGCATTTGAGGAAAATAAACGTTTTTATCTCGTGCAGTTGAGTGAAGGGACACTCACTATATTTTAAATGCGCTCAAATAAACAATGAGTGGTCTGATTCAAACTGACTGCTCGTACGTACACATAAATATCCCCCACACACACAGACAATGGTCACTCAAATGGCGACCTGATCAGATCGGATTAGCATTTTAATTAGAATTTGCATAGCTTTCCGCGTTTCATTCATTTCCCCTCCCGTCCCCCACCCACCGCGCACACATCCACTTGCTTGCGCCTTCTCCACTTTCTCATCTGCCTCCGGGGTGCCCGACCTGCGCGCGCGCAAATGACGCATTGGTCTCGGTGGCGCAAATCAAACGCAACCGGCACTGAACGGTTCAGGACAAACTGCGCACCTCGAATTTGCAATGGAGGCGCCTTGTGGTCAGTTCGGGTCGGTGAAATACTATTGACTACTTGGTCGGTGTTTGCGTGGACGCAACGTGATGGCGGTGGGAGACCAGTAACAATAATACGGGGTAGCCAACCAAGAACCACAAACACACCCGCTCACAACTGCAAACTCCCCGGTGTGTGTGTGTGTGTGTGTGTGTGTGTGTGTGTGTGTGTGTGTGTGTGTG